TGAACTGGACCAGCGAACAAAAATGGTGGCAGAGCTTGATGGTCATATCATGCGCTGTGTACGTGATCAGAATGGGAATCATGTGATCCAGAAGTGTATTGAATGCGTACCCGAAGATGCTATACAGTTCATTGTTTCAACTTTTTATGATCAAGTTGTGACACTGTCTACTCATCCATATGGTTGTCGGGTCATACAGGTTTATATACTTTACCTCTATACATGTATTTATAACTATATGCATTTACATCTATGTATCAACATATACATAGATTTTTGTGTATGTGTCTGTGTATATGCATGTGTATTTTGCATGTGTGTATATCCTTGTTTGTCTACTTATAAATGAATGTCCAAGAGTTATGATTCTAATTTGGGACAAAATTCTATATGACAGAGAGTCCTTGAGCACTGCCATGATGCTAAAACCCAGCGTATAATGATGGATGAGATTTTGCAATCTGTTATCATGTTGGCACAAGACCAGTATGGAAACTATGTTGTACAGGTTTGTTGTACTTATATGAATGGTGCTTTTGAGATACATCTATGTTATCTCTAGGAAATATAGATTGAGGATACTGAATATTGACGATTAAAAATGAAGATAATTATTTTTTAGTTTGATATGTTAGTAAATATCTGCTGCATATAAGAAAGGCTAGGAAATACCCATCAGTGTTCGGGATTATTCAAGCAGTTTAGCATTTGAGACTGAAATGTGAGAGATTCAGCCCCATCAGTGTTTGTAGGTTGAACTATCACTGCTTTGTAGAATTTTTTGCTTGGTGAGATATTTATTCATTCTACCATTTTATTCTTTGATAGGCAAGTTCATAAATCTACCTATGCTTTTGTGGTTGATGTTAGCAAACTTCTTGTGGCCTTCCATGACAGTGCATTATTTTGATGATCTCTCTAGCCTCATGGAACCAAGTTGATTCAGTTGATAAAAAAAAAAAAAAAAGATATTCCTCATTAAATTTGAGGAAAAGCACCTTGGTAGATCTATTAAATGAGCATAAAGAACAAACAACAGCATACCAATGAAGGACGGAACTTAAATGTTTCTCATTTTAGTCCTCAACCATTTTTCCCATGGAGGAGTTGGTGAGAAAATTGATTATGCTACTTACTCATTTTGCAATTGTGCAACTGAAATCTACAATATGCAAATGAAATGATCTAACCTTTCTATAATTTGTTTGATAAGATATCTAATTAATCTGCACGCTATAACTTATAAAGCTAATAGCAATATCACTTATTTCTTGTGCTGGTGTGTGCTTACAATTCCCACCACTGACCTACATATTCATTTATTTGGTAAATTACTGACCATGGTGTCACATGTAAAGTTTAAAGCAAAATATAATTTGTCACCCTTCAAGTGCCTGAAATATTTTGGCCAGTATTTGCTTTTGACATTCATGTGATATTCCAATTAGACTGAATGTATTTCTTTCCGCCTGTGATGCAAATTAAAATAATAATAACTGCCATCTTTCTCCCCTTCATTTACCCGTGGAGACTTACACATTCTATGTACTTATTTGTTTACCTATTCTCAACTACTCTGTTCTGATTGATTGCACCAATATTACAGCATGTGCTGGAGCATGGGAAACCACATGAACGTTCAGCAATAATAAAGAAATTAACAGGGCAAATTGTTCAAATGAGTCAGCAGAAGTTTGCCTCTAATGTTATAGAAAAGTGTTTAACATTTGGTACTCCTGTAGAGCGCCAGACCCTGGTGGATGAGATGCTTGGTACCACTGATGAAAATGAGCCTCTTCAGGTATCCATTAGCTTCCTATAACTAAATAGACTGAGAATGCTTAAAGCTTTTTACTTCTTTTCTTTCTTGAGTATCTTTGATTTATTTTCACATGATAGTAAAATCTTAGAAGTACATTGCTGGTCTGGAAGGGGCCTTTTGTGACATGTTCTCTGCCCTCTCTATATTCCTTTCAATTTTATATTATCTCGGAATCCAACAGACGTTCATCGATGCTTGTCCAACCCCTTCGCTACTTAAATCACTATCACCCCAAATAGGGAAGTCCTTCCCCTAATTGTATCAGATTAGCTTTTTTTTTTTTTTTTTTTTTTTTTTTTTTTTTTTTTTTTTTTTTTTGTCCTCCCTAATTGTAATCAGTTAGCTTTTTTTTTTTTTTTTTTTGTTTTTTTTTTTTTTTTTTTTTGGAGGAGAATGTATTGCAAAATTAGATTACATGTTATGGCTGGACTTTTTTTTTTTTTTTTTTTTTTTTTTTTTTTTTTTTTTTTTTTTTTTTGAGAGAATTGGTAATTGCAAAATTAGATTACTGTTATGCTGACTTGAGAGGTTGAGTGCACTACATATAGAAGCAATTGAGTGGAATGTTGTGTTTTTCTTCACAATAAAGGGTCATTTCTGTGTCCGAGTGGAATATTTATGCATTTGGCATTTTATTCATGGGCCTATGACAATGGGGTTGACATCTCTTCCCTCTAGTCCATTTGATGAATCCACTTGTGAATGACAAAATTCTCATTCCTAAAATCCAGTTATTTCAAGTGGTGCTCTCATTTTTGCAAAATTTTTTGTTTAGCTCATTTAAGGTGTTCAATGACCTTATTTGCTAATCTCTCTTCAGGTGATGGCTTCCGAATTTAATTTTGTCTTAAACTAGTATTCATTAGTATTCATTTTGATTTTTGTTTCTTGTTCTTGCAGGTTATGATGAAAGATCAGTTTGCTAATTATGTTGTACAGAAAGTGCTGGAAACTTGTGATGACCAGCAACTTGAACTAATCCTTAACCGGATAAAGGTTCACTTAAATGCTCTGAAGAAGTATACTTATGGGAAGCACATAGTTGCGCGTGTAGAGAAACTTGTTGCAGCTGGAGGTAACTCATCTACTCATTTTATCCTGATTTAAAAAAATTTGATCTGATTTCCACATATTTGAACGAAAGTTGGCTAGAAATTTTTTGTGCATTATGTTTTCATTGCCAATTACCGTGTTCTTTTAGTGCAGTCATTGTTTGACAGTTGATTAATGGCTTAACTGGACCAGATGAGTATTATATGGTGTTCAGTGAGTCGAGCAAGGACTTACATTAGAAAAAATGTATGATGCAGTTGAGCATCATAAAGAAAGAGTAGCTAGAAAAGTTTTGCACTTTAGCAATTGCAAAATACTTACGAGAGTTGCTAAAATGAACTTTTTCCTTATAAGCCCTTTATTCCCTATGCATTTGAAACTATTTTATCATCATTCATCAACCAAGTAAAATTAGGAAGCATAATTTCAATGTTTATGTATATAGCTTATTACTTGAAGATTTTTCAGTTCTTCGGCCGAGTTTTTCCTTTCTTAATGCTAGTACTTGCTAACTCTTGATGAATTATATGTTGCATGTTCACTTCCTAACAAGTGCTTATATCTTTTGCAGAGAGGAGGATTAGCATCCTTACCCTGCACCCTGCTGCAGCTTAGATGTCATAGGAGAAGTTGTACAGCTAACTGAGGATAGTACGAGTGCCTCTTGCTTTTCTTCTTTCTTTTGATATCTAGCAATGGCTCCATCTATTTATTTGGATAGATAGGAGCTTAATGAAAATAAAAATTGTCAGTTGTACTTAAAACTGTACATTGTTAGTTTGAGGATATACCTTAGATTCAGGCTAGCTGAGGGTCAGATGGCGAACATACTGATGCCCTTGCAGTTGCAGAGGAGATAAAATTTACTGTACAAGTTTTAAGGGTGTAAAAAAATGGAGGAGGTAGTGGATTTGCGATCGTGACTGTACAAAATATTTACCTGGCAGAGATGGCCTTTGTGTTTAGGAGAGTCTGGAATTTTTGTCATGTTTGAGATTGTTTATTTTTCTTTTTTAAAGAACTCTTTACCCCCATTTTCATGGTTTTCATGGTTGCGAATGTATCATATGCAGATTGTTTTTCCATCTACTCGTTTGTGTTGTGGCTGCCCATTGCTTTTAGCATTTTATTTTATTTGAGCATCACGTTTATTTTTCTTTAGAATTAAAATACGTTTATTTGTTTTTGTTTATTGTTTTTATTTTATTTCACAATAAGGTTCAATAATTAAGTTTTTGTACAATTATCACTTCATTTTTGTTTTTAATATTTTTACTTTAATAACGATAATAATAATAATTTTACCAATTAAAAAAATTAAAAATTATGAGTGAGTTCTTTAGTGGATATAATATATTTGCAGTTACAAACTTGCAGTCATTACGATTATTGAATGTTGAGTGAAACTGTGAAGGAAAGAGATGGAAATGATGAATGAAAATAAGCATTCACATGGGAAAGGAATAAATAAAAATGAGGAATAAGGTCCAATGTTGTTCCTTTAACTTGAACGTGATATACACTTTATTCAAAAATTAAGTTTTTTTTTTTCAATAAATATTCAGTTTTGTTGTATAATTACTCATTTTGGTTTTTGCACTAAACGAATAAATTTCAAATAATTATTTATTTTTAATAATAATAATTGTAGTAATAATAATAATAATTTTATCAATTAAAACTATTAAAACTAATATTTTATTCTTTTGTCAAGATTTAGGGCTTTTTGTTTGTTAATTTAGTGCGAAGTTAAAGGCGATAATTATATAAAAAGTTCATTTTTTGAAACTTTTGATTTCACGTTCGATTCTTATCTACGTAATCATTTAAATATAATTTGTTTGTGATGCCTTTAATGGGTTTTATGATGGATTTTGAAACTGTTGTAACTGCTATCAACAGTGCATAATTTATAATAATCATTATATAACTGCTGTCAGTGCATAGTTTATAATAATCATTGTATAACTGCCGTCAACAGTGCATAGTTTATAATAATCATTGTATAGTAATGAATGAAAAAAAAAAAAATCATGTAAGTTCAAGTGATAAATTGAACTTTATTTGGTAAAACAATAGCAATAAATCATTAGTTTAACCCTATCCGGAAAAGATTAGGGAAAAATGATGACACTTGATGACAATTAGTTTTCATTAGCAAACTTCAAAATTACTAAACAATAGAAATATGAAAGACCAAAAATACTACTACATTTTGAAAGCTTCTCTCCTTGTGCTTAATTATATCACGACACCATCATTAGGAGGACAAAAGGTAATAACATACCTAGGAGCCTTACAAGTCTTAAGCCCTGAAGCATCATCATATGCAAAACTATAAGCCCTAGGACATATTGCCTTAAAAAGATGAGCAAAAATACTAGGTTTACAACTTTTAGGATCTGCATATTCCCCTGTACAACAATATCTATCAGTTTTAGCAGCCAAACATGCACTTTTACAACCCACCACCTTTCCTTGTCTCTTCACAGCCAATCTTTCAGGGCAACAGATATTCAAATCCACCTCACAGCCGGCGACACCACATCCTCCGCCACCACTACCACCTATAGGCACCATAGAAACAGGCACATTAAACCCATCAACTAAACTAACATCGTAAAAATGTAAGTCGGAATTTGGAGTCCCAAATGTCATTTCTACTAAAGATGTTGGAGGAACACCACCATTGCCTTTGCATTGTAAAAGGCCTGCACAGTCTCCGGTCAGACATGAACCTTTTCCTGTGTTTTCATCAAAGCAACAGCCTTGTCTTGGCCAGATTCTGCCTGACCATTGCTCAGGGAGTCCAATAACTGTCTGTTCGCCGGCCGAGAGTTGGAAACCGCCATCTCTTGGTGTTTCTTGGCCTGCAGTGCCAAGAATTCCTGGCCATATGCTTTCTTTGCAGTTGTTTACTATAACGAGTTCAGTCCCATCTGCAAGAAAACAATGAATCAAGAACCAAGATAAAAAGAATTTAAGAAATCAAAAAAAAAAAAAAAAAAAAAAAAATCAAAAAAAAAAAAAAAAAAAAAAAAAAAAAAAAAAAAAAAGAGCAAGGAAGGGAGTTCTTTAGTGAATATAATATATTTGTAGTTAGAAACTTGCAGCCATTGAGATTATTGAGTGAACCTGTGAAAGAAGAGATGGAAATGATGGAGAAGAAGAAGAAGAGGAGGAAGAGATTACAGGAAGTTGCAATAGACATTTGATTTAAATTTTTTGGAGAAAGGAAGTTTGGTGGTTTCTTGTTTATAGGTAATAGGAGGTTACTCCTTATTTTTTGCAGCAAGAAAGGACATTTTTTTTGTGATTTTAAAAACAACAGCTTGTGGAAAAAACGGTCCGCTAAGCTGTAAAGGATGTGTAAAATAACCGTTAATGCTCAGTTGGTGACGTTTCACTTTTATTTTTTCAGTTTTGCTTGTGTGAAAGACTTAAAAGTATAGTAAACAATTGGAATACTTTGCTAAATCATGAAAAAGAGCCTCTCTTTGCATTGGGAAATGCAATTTTTAGATCTATATCAGGGTTTATGAACACGGTGGAGAGGCCTCGATTTAATTTTCAAAATGACGGAATTTCAACTCGAAACTTTATGCGTTGAAAAATTAATTAAGCATTACCTGATTGGCATATATACAATCTGTATTAATATTTTACATATTGCACCACATGACTAGCATGTCATTTTTATGTTCTACTTTTTTATTTAAAATTTTATTTGAATATATATTCTATTATGTTATGTTTTTATTATTAATTGTATTTCACTAATATCATATTACAAAACTAAAGCTACTTGAATCTATTGTAAAATATATATAAATAACAAAATAAAGTTTCAAGTACACTTTTAGAATTGTAGAAGCTTACCTTAAATATAACATGAATTACAAATTGACCCGTCCATGGCACGGACTTTCAACTAATTATATTTGTTAGATATTTCATTTAAGTAAAATATTTTTACTTAAATGCTTTTAATATTTTTTTATTACACAAATGAAGTAAAAATTATAACTTAAGAAATAAGTCTAATGAAAAGGTAATGTATAGTAAAATTACAATTTTATAAGAGATTCTTTTGAGTTAAAATTAACATTTTGTCGATTAAATATCTCAATTAGAATCTTTTAATTAGTAAACCTAAGAAATATATAATAAAATTTTCAAATAAAAGTAGGTAAAAATTATATAAATGAAAAACAAATCACGCTAAGACAACATTTTAAATGAATCTAAGTGTTTGATTGGAAAAAAAGAAAGAATTATTAATATTTTTAAACAAATCATCACTTACGTCTTTTTATATAGTTTGGAACATATATGATCTAAAACAGTTTATCTCGTGACTACAGAGGAAATATTGCTCCACATCCCGCTAAAGCCTCTGTCACATTTTATGGGCTACGATAGATATTTAACATGAGAAAAAGAAACTGTTTGGTTGTCGGGAAAATGGAGGAAAACAAAGATAAAATATCAACTTTCAAAAAAACTGTCACGAAGCAGAATCACTCGCGCCGGTTCAAATTAGGATCGCCGGTCATCGGCTGCTCCACTCTGTCTCTTCTTATTTAAGTTCCAACCGTTTCCGGTTTTTTCGCCAGATAACCGGAACTTCCGGTTTCGTTTACTTTTCCTTTTCCAAAGCCGGTCCGCTTCCCACTTAACCGGATGACCCGGTAAAAGCCGAACTAATTATGGTTAAAGCTAAACCGGCTAACACGTTAAGCCCTAACCGGTCGGTCCGGTCACAGACCCTTTCGGTTTATAACCCATTTCAACCTCCTTAACTCGGTTTTGTTAGCAATTGTCTCGAAAACAACATTGAAATCCAAGTAAGTTCTGTTGCTCTTTCTGTGTCTTTTCATGTCCTGTTTTATGGCTTTGATTTCTTAGTTCTTATATGTTAGAATCTTAGCCAACGCTAAAAGGTAATGTGAAATAAGCTTGTTTTATCAAGGAAACAACAGGGAAAATTAGGTTCTTGTCTTAAATCCTTGTTACACAAAAAAGATTATAGCTTTAATTATAAGTATAAATGATTATTTGATTCTTAGGGTTTGGTTTTGATGGATGCAAATTTAGAACCTATACCTATTACTTCACAAAAACATGATCCAGCATGGAAGCATTGTCAAATGTTCAAGAATGGAGAGAGAGTACAACTAAAGTGTATTTATTGTAGCAAAATTTTTAAGGGAGGAGGAATTCATAGGATTAAAGAACATTTAGCCGGTCAAAAGGGCAATGCGTCAACTTGTTTACGAGTTCCTCCTGATGTTAGGCTTATGATGCAACAAAGTTTGGATGGAGTTGTTGTTAAGAAGAGGAAGAAGCAAAAGATTGTGGAAGAGATCACGGATTTAAACCCTGTAGTTGTCAATGAGATAGAGGGTTTTGGTAACAATCATATTGAAGCTAATAATGGGATGGATTTGATTGGAGTTTCGAATGTGATAGAGCCTAGTTCAAGTTTGTTAGTTGTTCAAGAAGAAAGAACGATTAGTAAAGGTGGGGAGAGGAAGAAGAGGGGAAGAAGTAAAGGTTCAGTTGCAAATGAAAGTGCTGCTGGTACTATGAATAATAGATTGGCATCAGGTGCTAAAAGATCGAAAGAACATGCCCATATGGCTATAGGGAGGTTTTTATATGATATTGGGGCACCTCTAGATGCTGTGAACTCAGTTTATTTTCTACCAATGGTTAATGCAATTGCTTCAGGAGGATCTGAGGACGGGATGCCTTCATATCATGATCTTCGTGGTTGGATATTGAAGAATTCGGTTGAAGAAGTGAAGACAGACATGGACAAGTACATGGCAACTTGGGCAAGGACTGGTTGTTCAATTTTGGTTGATCAGTGGACCACATCAATTGGCAGAACTCTATTGAGCTTTTTGGTTTATTGTCCTGAAGGAGTGGTATTCTTGAAATCTGTTGATGCATCTGATATTATAAATTCATCTGATGCTCTTTATGAATTGCTTAAACAAGTTGTGGAAGAAGTTGGATTTAGACATGTTTTGCAGGTGATAACTAGAATGGAAGATCAATATATTGTTTCAGGGAAAAGGTTATCCAATACTTTTCCTACTCTATATTGGGCTCCTTGTGCTGCTCATTGTGTAGATTTGATACTTGAAGATTTTTCAAAACTTGAATGGATAAATACAGTAATCGAACAAGCTAGGTCTATTACAAGATTTGTATACAATCACAGTGTGGTATTGAATATGATGCGAAGGTATACTCGTGGCAATGATATTGTCGAACCAGGACTCACCAGTTCTGCTGCAAACTTTGCAACATTGAAAAGAATGGTTGAACTTAAGCATGCTTTGGAGGTAATGGTTTTTTCACAGGAGTGGGTGGATTGTCCATATTCGAAGAAACCAGGGGGATTAGAGATGTTAGATTTGGTAAGTAATCAATCATTTTGGTCGTCTTGTGATCTGATAGCCCATTTAACATATCCTTTCTTGAGACTTTTGATAATAGTTAGTTGCCATAAGAGGCCTGCTATGGGGTATGTGTATGTGGGCATGTATCGAGCAAAAGAAGCCATTAAGAAGAAACTTATAAAGAGGGAGGATTATATGGTCTACTGGAATATTATAGATCGTTGGTGGGAAAAACAAAGCAACCTCCCTCTTCATGCTGCTGGTTTCTTCCTTAATCCTAAGTTCTTTTATAGCATTGAAGGAGATATCCACAATGACATTCTGTCCGGGATGATTGATTGCATAGAAAGACTGGTTCCCGATGCTGACATTCAAGATAAAATTACCAAAGAGATACATTCTTACAAAAGTGCAGCTGGAGATTTTGGAAGGAAGATGGCAGTAAGAGCTAGAGACACACTGCTTCCTGGTGAGGGTTCTTTTTGTTAATTGAATTGCCTTCTTGCTTAAAAATTCATATGCTTACATTTGTAAGGATTAGAAGTTCCTAGGAGGGGAGGTTGATGAGTGTGACTAAAATTTTTGTTTGCACATGCATGGAGCTAAGATGTTTAGAGGGAATAGGAACCTTCCATTTTTTTCTATTGCATAATTGATCATGACACAGCGGAGATGATTTTTATACTGTGCATGACTTCTTATATTTGGTATGACAAGAACACTTTTCTTTTAGCGCTTAGCTAGGCAGGATCAGTACTTCATAAAGCCTTCAACGAAATCCCAAAATGTTGAATATCCGATTGCAGACTTTGTAATAATGAGTCCAATCTGGTGTCCATTGTACATTGGATCAAACACCTTCTTTGCATGTCTTGCCACTATGTCGGGTGCAGAAATTTTGTTTTAATAGAATGGATTCTGTTGCAAATAATATGTTACCTCTTAGATTACTATTTATTTGATTTTTTTTCTTGCTGTAGCTGAATGGTGGTCAACGTATGGAGGAAGTTGCCCAAATTTGGTGCGGTTAGCTATTCGAATTCTCAGTCAAACCTGTAGTTCAATTGTGTATAAGCAAAATCAGATTCCTGTTGAACAAATACATGATACAAGGAATTGTTTGGAGCGTCAAAGACTCAGTGACCTTGTGTTTGTTCAGTATAATTTGCAATTGAAACAAATGTAAGTTTTTATCGATGCTACTGAATATGCTTATTGATGGTGCTAGAAAATTGGGGGAAACAAGGTATAATTTTTCTGGCTACCAATTCTTTTACAGGACTGGTGTTAAGAACAAAGAACAAGATTCTATTGACCCCATTTCAGTTGACAGTATTAGTACTTTGGAGAACTGGATCAGGGAGAAAGATTCCAGCTCAGAAGACTATGCAAACTTGGATTGGATGGCACTTGATCCACCTTCTTCTAATACAAGGCTCCATGATGAAGTTGAAGAGTTGGGTTCAGGTACTTGTAATTCTTCCTGATGTGAAAACACTACTAAGGAAACATTATTTTTCTGGCAAGCTAATTCTGCTTAGAGATGCATTCTTGCTAATTAAAGTTATTATATGCAGGGTTTGATGATTATGAGATTTTTAAGAGAATCAAAGACACTAAAGAGGAAAATGTTGAAGACAATAAATAGAACGACTTTCAAGTAAACATTTTATTCGAAGTATGCAATTGGATTACTGCTTGCCCACTATAATTCACTACGAGACGTTTTTAATTATCTGACTTTATTAAACATTAACATTAGAGACAATTATAAGATGTAAATGGATTAGGTTTCTTTAACAGTAGAGATTATCACTATGAAGATTAGGCTAGATTATGGTGAAAAAGATTTGATAATGCCACAACTATTGCTTGATGATTGCAGTGGATTCAGTATCTTATTGAAGCCATGAGGAGTCAAAATAGTAGGTAGGTAGGTTTGATGTTTGAGAAAAGTGCATTGTAGACCATAGATAGATAGAAAAGGCTGTATATTAAGTATGCTATTGTACACTTCATCTCATAAATATTCAAATAGATTTATTTTAAGCATTTCGAATCTAGAGAACATTGAGCCTATATATGCAATGAGATTAATGATTTTTGTCTTAAGAACATGTTATTTTAATGTATTATATAGCATTTGACAGGGAGGAAGAACATGCTCATCATGAAAAGTACTTAGGTCCTTTTTTTTTCCTTTTTGTTCTCCATTTGGAGCATTGACCTTTATGTAGTGGAGAATTCATCAATGTTTAGAGAAAGTAGCAAGTGATAATACGTAAGCCACTAATTCATGAGGGATTGGTGATTTCTTTCTTTTCTTGTTTTGCTTCATACTTAGAAAAGTTCGAGGCGTGATTGGTCTAAAGCAAAGTTTGATATCGATTTTACTTTCTTTCAATTAATACTTTATTTGATGAGGCAATTGCATCCCTTTCCCACTACCATCCCCCTAAAGGATTACTTTATGCATGTCCTTCAATGTTTTGGCTGCTCTTCCATTTAGCAATTTTAAGGTCAAATGGTGGCTTCACAATACCTTTTCACTAGTGGGAGCAACTTTTGACTATTTTCTTCAGGAAAATGTGAATTGGTCCAATTGGATTTTGCAGGGTAATAAAAACTCTAATATTATTGCCCACTGTGAGGTAATAATTCTCTTCTCATGGTTTTCCTTTCAGGTCATTCTAATTTGACAAATTTTCCAAATCTAGTATTCTCTTCAAGATTTTCCTGAACTTTGGCACCAAAAACCTAGTGTACTCCCCCATGTGTCATCAGAAAAATGATATTGACTTCCAATTTCTCAACTTAAATGAGAAACATCTAAAGGTTAATTCTTGTGATTAGTGTAATGATCGATTATTTTGCTTCATCGCTCGGGATGTCAGGGATTTCTTTTTCTTTTTCTATTTTTCGCAATACAAGAGAATGGCTAAAACTCGAAAAAGTAAACTCGAATAGATACACTGAAGCCAAATCCAAGGACAACGCAGTTTTCTGCAGTGCAGTATCAGCATGCAAATCATATTACAGAAAGAAACCACTCAATCTAAAAGCTAAAACTTCCTGTTACTTGGATAAAGTAATTAAGATGCTTATTTTTTTTGTTTCTTTCCTTGCTTCATTTGATGAAAATAGATGGGAACAGAAAATAGTATACATGGTCAAGCTGAGGCTATAGTATAGATAAAGAAGCCGAGGTAGTTGGCAAGGTTGCAACTAACATTTATTAAAAAATGTTCATCCATTTAAATATTAATCAACAAGTTGTAAGTTTATGAAATTCGTATATTTGGAATATGTCTTGTTCAGTCACACTCAGACAAAACTACTGGTTGGTTTTCAGAGTCTGCAGCCTGGTGGTTGGCACACAAATTTTTCAAAGCAAAAAGCATATTAATAATGTGAAACTCCTTTCTCTATTCCAAACCCATATCTTGAAATATTGTGACAGATTCAAAAATAGCAATATCTACGTGGAAATTTACAACCCAGAATGGAATATCAATCAATTAATTTACATTTAAGAAAAAAGAAAGAGATATATAGTCATCATATGTGTACAGAAAAATCTTGATACTGGAAAAAAAAAAAAAATTGTAATTAGCTCTCTTTACCATAACTACCTACCTTCTCTACCAGAATGTGAAAGAGGTGAAGCCGAACTAGCTTCAACATCAATATCCCCAAAATCACCTCCAGAAGACCATGTACTACCTTTCTCAAAATTTGATGACAATGGATACGAGTGCACAAAATCCTCAAATTCCATGCTACCACTACCACCATCACCCTTTTTACCATCATATTCATCTGGGGCCGCAACTGTCTGGGGCAATGACGCTTCTCCTTCCAAATAGCTCACGACTTGCCTCATCGTGGGCCTCTTTTCGGGTGAACTATTAGAACATATTAACCCTAATTTCAACACAACAATAGCCTCGAGATCATCAAACTCGCCATTTAATCTTGAATCAACTACATCAAGAATTGCACCACTTCTCCACTTATCCCATACCCAATCCACCAAAATAAGCTCCTCTGGCAATGCTTTAGGCTCAATAGGCCTCCTTCCACAAACTGCTTCAAGCAATAGTGCACCAAAGGCAAAAACATCTGAACTAGTAGTAGGCTTGCCTGTTCTTGTTAGTTCAGGTGCTAAATAACCCAATGTGCCTACCACTCTTGTGGTGCTAGGATTACTACCCCGATCGTATAATTTTGCAAGTCCAAAATCACTAAGTCTTCCATTTAGTTCAGCATCTAACAAAACATTGCCTGCTTTTATGTCTCTATGAATCACAGTCTGTTCCCATCCTTCATGCAAATACAGAAGGCCAGAAGCAACACCTTTGATGATATTGAATCTTTGTTTCCAATTGAGAATTCTTTTAGGTTCATCAAACAAGTACTTGTCTAAGCTTCCATTAGGCATAAAATCATAGACAAGTAGCAAATCACCTCGTCGGCGACACCAACCAATCAATTGGACTAAGTTTCTGTGTCTAAGACGGCCAATACTAGCAATCTCAGATACAAATTCTTTCACACCTTGCTTAGATTCATGAGAAATTCTCTTAACCGCAACTTCAGTATTAGAATTTGGTAAAGTTCCTTTATAAACTTTCCCAAATCCACCAAACCCCAAAAGCTCTCTGTCTCTAAAACCCCTGGTTGCTTTTTTGAGTTCCTGATAAGTAAATCTATGAGGACCAACATCAAACTCCCATTCTTCTATAAAATCTGCGTTCTTGAGTTTCCTAATTAGGTAAATAGATATACCAATAACTAAGATTATAAACACAACAGCAGAAGCTGTGACAGCAACAATCAGGACTGTATGATCCTTTTTAGGCCCAGGAAGAGAAGGAAGAGAAGCTAAAGATAAAGACTGAGCAATTCCATTTATAGTAAAACTCCATCCAAGAATATAGTGTGTGCTTGCTAGCAGACCAGTTGATGAAGAGAATCCAACAAACATATACTCTTTGAGATAAGGGGAGAGATCTACTTCAAAAGACAAGATGGGAGATCTGGGTTTTATTGAAAAAGGTGAAAGCCTAACCTCTACAAGATTCTTGGAAGAATCATAATCAACCCAAGATTGAATAACCGTTCCCATCTGTAGATTTAAATTAATCTTTGTAGAATTATCGAGAAAATACGCAGCAGGAGCAGATTTATTTGATTCCAAGCTATTTATATCAATACCCACATGGTTATCATTTATATCACCAAATTCAAAATCCCTAACCGTATCAAATTCAACTGCAAAAATGTGATTGGAGAAATTACCCATATCACTTGCATTGAGTAAGCCAAGGTACTGACTTGGAAGACTACCTGACAAGTCCTTCGAAGGAGAGATAGTGAAAGCAAAGCCATGGCCACCAAGCCGTGGGTATCCAGGAACTATAGCAAAAGCAAAGGCGGTGGAAAAGGAGAAAGCTTTGCCATTACTTGAATTCTTGAACTGGATTTGATTGGAGTAAAAGGCATGGCCTTTTAAGCGTTGAGTATTGTTTGTTAAATGAAGTATGCCATTGTCTTCAATTTCTGCTCCATCATATAAGCTCATGTTGTTCTTGGCATCACTGAAGCCATTAAAGAAGAGCTCATTTAGCTGAGAAAAAACTGGGTTTAAAAGAAAAAGAAGAAAAAACAAGAAAACTTTGAGTTTCTTGAACATTATAGACAGAATTAGAGAGTTCTGGAACAGAGGATGTTCTATGGTAACATTTTATTTTTGTACGTGTTTAAGTTGGCTTTGAAAAAGAAGTAAAAGAGAAAAAGATTAGTGGGTGCTTCTTGGATGGTGGAGGGGAGATCTGATATATTGCTCACATGGGGTTTCACAGACAGTGACTGTACGCAGCAGAGCACTAGAGTCCATTTTGGCTTCACCCACTAGTTTGAAAACATGGAAGGTAAATGCTATATTTGCTATATATTCTTGGCCGGTCTGAGTTGGCTAAGCTCATATATTAAATATTGTCCTTGGAGTTAATTTCACAACCAAAGTCTACTATTTTCTCATTTCCTTGTTAACTTAATCACTACCTAGCACAAGTCTAGTCTAGTTGACTCCATTTCATTTTAGTTAACCAACTCATCCACAACACACTTTCGCATTAAACGCAAATCACTTCTACATAATTTCTTCAGGCCGGAGGGACGGAGATGTGAACAGTAAAAACCATCTTCTCCTTTAGTTGTTTATAATTATAGAAAAATATTTTTGGCCAACTTGGATCCCACGCAAATTTTAAAAGGATAATACTCACCTCATCAGTTGTAAGAAAATAATTTAACGAAAATGAAAAATAATGAAATTGCGGAGATTTAAATTGATAATTTTTTTTATTGAGTTGAATTTATATCAGATATAGTTGTACCGTTTAGAAAGACCCTATTTTGGTTGTTCTCAGTAATTATATATTCATATTTTAAATTTTGTTTAATCAAATTTATAGATAGGAAGTATCATTATCAACAAGACATCAATGCTAATTCATATTAAGGTAGATATTATTTCATAATTTTAACCTAAGCAAACCTAACAATAATATAATATAATAGTACTTTGATAAAGACATAATCCTTCTTTATAAACTTTGACATTACATTAAAAAACACTAGGATGAGGTGTCTTCACTCTAAATTTCTCTATGAACATCATAAATTTGAGTTTTTGCAACACATATTGCACAGAATAAATTTGTGGTAGTTCCCAACACATTCAATTTTGTGTCCAATTAGAAAAATACACATAGTGAATCTTTTTAATCGATTGTTTTCATACTGTCTTGATGACAACCACTCATTAAGACAAGACCTTTCAGAGTACAAAAGAGAGTTTTGGGGCTGTCTAGATTATGCTCTATCTGTTGGGGGCTCCACCCTTCAAAACACCACCACCTCCACCATTTCTTTTTCTTCAAAAACCCCTCATTTTGTGTTGGAAAATTGGTCTCTCTATGCAAAGGCAGCTCACAGGAAATGTTTTTTTGTGTTTTCCAATGAGCTCTTAAAAAGTCGGTGCACATCAAAAGACAATACAATGTGATGAATTTCAAATTCTTTGTTGTATTTATCAAAAATTGAAGTGATATTTTTCCTAACATATCTTGGAGTGGAAAAAAAAAAATTTAAATACAAATAACGATTAAATCACAAATTATTACTAATTTAAAGTCTAAAATTAAGTTTTGACTGAAATTTTAAATTTCAATATTAGCTCTTCTCGGATTAATTAATTATAGTAGAGATATCAACGAGTATAATTTAATTGAGGGGTTAAAGTCGGAATTCTATTTCTAAATCATGGTTGAAAATTTAAAAATTTTACATTAGATTGTTTGGTTTTGAGCTTAAATCATGTTGATTTGTACTTTATAGTAATTAGGGTTTACTTGCATGAGGGAGATATGCGTAAGCAATGAGCCAAATTCTAAAAGTGATTAAAAGACATTTAATGCTTTAGACAAGGGTGGTTTGGAATTAGATTGTCTCCACCTCACTTAACCACCCCCAATTTGTTTTCATGGAAGCTTCCAAAAACATCCTTAATTATTTTTGGTAGAAAGTATTAAATTATTAGTTAGAAACTTGATATAGTAACATAAATAAAAGAGATTTTGTAATAGAAAACATTACTCTTGTTTAATGAGATAATTATGTCAAACTCTTAATTAAAAAAGATATTATTCCTTCCATCTCAAATTTTTATATAGAAATTAAAAAAATAATTAATTTTTCTAAATTATAATAAAATAAGGGTAACCCATTTATCTCAAAATTAAAGGAAAATTGTGAAAATAGTTATTTTATCTAGTATAAATAAAGATAAAATTGAAAAAAGATAATTTATTACTCTTTAAAATTCTTAAAACGTCTTATATTTTTTGGACAAAATAATTACTCTAAAACGACTTAAATTTTAAGACGGAGAAAGTAACAATCTAGTATCTTTGCGATAAGGAGTTCATCACCGCTTCAATTCTTGTCATACATTTTTATTTTTTATTTTTCTGAGAATGAATTAACAAAATATGAATAATTTGATTATTAAAAATACTTTAAACGTCTTATATTTTAGAATAAAATAATCACATTAAAATGATTTATATTATGATTATATAGACTTAGCATAAAGAAAAATAGCCAATTGGAAAGGGAAAAGAAAATCAAGTCAAAATTTTGTCAAGCACTAAACATGGTCATTACTCCAATTTCAAAAATTAAGTATTTGATAAAACTGTGTTCTATGGCAGTGGGTTTTGCACCAAAAATTTCTCTGAAACTGCAATTGATGCTCAAAACGACAATGTCCAAAGCTTGAAGATTGATTCGTTTCTGGGTTTTTATATTTCAAAGCACAAGTGGCCTTATAAATAAAAGGTTGGTGATATATATGAAATAAAATAATAATAAAACCTAGTCATTTGTTTGGTGTTGATTAATTATTTATTTAAATTAATTATGTCAGTCATATGTTTATCCATAACTGATATAAGAATGTGTAGTTAAATACATATTCTTTGTCGTGAAAAGAATATTAAACTCAAGAAAAAAAAACCAAACATTGTGAATTTTTTAAAGCAATTTGTGAATTTCCAATTTTTTTTTCCATTTTCCAATTTATGAAAATAGGTATGGGATTTTATATTTAAGGCAATTTATTATGTGCAATCACAGCTAAATCTTGTATTGTAGATAAAAAGAATCCTTAATTTTATAATTAACTTATTAATTAAATATGATTTAGTCGATTTTCTTACTTTTTATAAAGGCATTTCTATAAATGTTTGAGGAGTATATATCATAATTTTTTCCTTAGACAGTATATATAAATAAAATAAAATTATATTTGCTGATTAAAAAAATATATCATAAATTTTTTTTATTAATTTAGAAGATGGAGCTAACTGTACTATTAACATATTTGCCCTTAATAAAATATTAAACCAAACCAATATCCTAACATTTCATTCTCAACGAATATAATTCAGAATGTAATTATATTATTGTTCCTCACATGGGCAGACTTGTCTTATTATAAATAAGCATAGCATGTGTATAGATAAACCGAGCAAATTCAACTTGTTGAAATTAGTAACTAATTAAGTGTGGTCTACTTCATTTTTTTGTCAACACGAGTAATAAGAGGTTTCCAGAAAACTAAAACACAGTGTCTTAGTTTTACGTGATTTATTAAATTAAAAATAAATTAACAACAACAAGCCCGTCTAGCTCAGTTGGTAGAGCGCAAGGCTCTTAACCTTGTGGTCGTGGGTTCGAGCCCCACGGTGGGCGATCTAAATAAATCCAAGTTGTTTCTACGAGAAAAAAGGCACTATAAGTAAAGTTTTGCTTAAAAAAAAAAAAAAAAGATGAATGTTACCCCTAATATCATAACTAACCTATTTAACTCAAATAATATTTAAAAATAGTTTTTTATATATATAATGTATAGATTCTCCAATATTCATAACTAAAATAACAAAAATTAGTACAACAATAAATTTTTATGTGCACTTTCTTGAATTTTCTTTTTTGGCTCTTAATTTAGACTGAAAAGAGGAGAAGTTTGTTTTGTCTAAAGACAAAAGTCTTAAGAGTGGGATGGTCTTAAAAGGGTGTGGCTAAACAGTATAAATTAGTTGACATAGAGAGAGGTTCAAATATAAAATGGTTCAACAAGTCAAATGCAATAATATCATGTTTTATTTATAGTACACTAGTTTGAAAAAAATTTTAGGAGATTGGAATGATGGATATGTGAAGAATGATCTTAAATTCAAATCTTAATATTCTCTTTTTATATGTAAAAATTACAATTAAATAATTGGTTTATGAAAATTTTTTTTCATATCAATCTTACTATTGTAGTTTTTAAATTTTGTTTTTTATTAATTAATTTGTTCATACGGATATTATTTCAATTAAATACATAATATTGGATTATTTTGAAAGAAAATCCAAAAAAATAATTTTGTTTAATAAATCATGTTAAATATAAACATTCATTTAATCCATATATTTTTTCTTTTTTTATTATTTTTTAATGTTTTATTTTCTTATATCTCTTTTTTTTTTTTTTTTTAAATGTCTAAAAATTCGTTAGTTAGTTAGTTTTCCTACATCTAGGAGTGTAAATAAGTTGACTGGAGCTCGAACTTGTTAAACTCGAAGCTCGGCTCAATAGAATTTAATTTAGCTCGAAACTCAACGAGCCTAAAAATTCTAGGCTCAAACTCAACTCAAGACTTGAGTTCAACTCAAAAAATATTAAGTTTAAGCTCAGCTCGAAGTTTGATGTTCAAATAAGTTCAATTATATATATATATATAAGTTCAATAGAGCTCGATAAGGCTCAGCAAAGTTTCAACCTGAATATTATTAAGAGCTCAAGCTCAATTTAAGCCAAACCTTTTCAAACTTTTCTCAAACCGAGCTTGAACAGTTTGCGAGCTAGCTCGACTCATTTACACACCTATCTATATTAATAAAGGGTATATGAGGGTGGAAAACTTGTTAGCTAACTGATTTATACTAACTTTTTAGCATTGGTAGTACCAAATTTAAGTATCAATTCATCTCTACCCTTTCACACGCTTGATTGATAATAATAATAAAGTTGGTAAAAAAAAAAAAATGCCAAAATTAAAAGAATGAAGAGAATTCCTTTTCCTCATTGATTCACCGGATAAGAATAGATGGTCTCTCCCTTTCAAGGTTGTTTTATTTATGGGAGAAACATTATCTTACATAGAGTCAACAACTACTCCCAACTCCTAAGTCCTAAACAAAGATTACTTATTATTATTTATTGCTAGTTTACTACTACTATTATGTTAGAGATAATACATTGACAATGACATGTACCCTTAAATTTCCGTTTTTCAGAAACTTCTTAATCAAATCAAAGGTGATTTTATAAATTATAGTGAAATAGTTCAATAATTTCTTTTCTGCGTTTTTTTTTTCCCCTTCTTTTGCATTACAAGTTTTTTTTTTTTTTTTTTTTAATGTGATTAATGGAAACTATAACAAGAAAAAAAAAATTTATAAGCAACTTAAGACACTTGGTCTAGTAGTAAGTGTATACTAGATTTCACATTTGAATACAAATTCAAGTCATGAAGTATCTTCACCACAAGTTTTTTCACTACTTTAATGAGTTAAAAGAGAGAATTGACCATTATTATGTAACTCGCAATATTATTTTGACCCATTGAAACTCTAATGAATGAGAAAAAGTTAGTAAGACAAAAAAAAAAAAAAAAAAAAAAAAAAGTTTTTTCAACTACTTTTAATGAGTTAAGAGAGAAATTGCACCATTTTATGTAACTCGCAATATTTATTTTACCCATTGAAACTCTTAATTGAATGAGAAAAAGTTAGTAAAGACAAAAAAAAAAAAAAAAAAAAAAAAAATTCAAAACAATTAAAAACACCAAGAAGTTGTAGGTGGTATTCAATAATTTCGTCATGTCCACAGTCAGAATTTCGTAATTTTATAAAAAAAAAAAAAAAAAAAAAAAAAAAATTCAAACAATAAAACACAAGAAGTTTAGGTGGTTCAATAATTTGTCTATGTCCACAGTCAGAATTTCGTAATTTTATATTAACACTGGGGAAAGGAAATGCACATTGCAATAGATTAAAGCTATAGTACACATTTAGGATTTTTTTCAAACTGCTACGGTGCTTCTGCCTCATAAAAAAAATTCCCTGCATTCTTCTTCGTTAACTCTTTTGCCTGAAAAGCCTCCCTCAGAACCTTTTAAATTTTCAGTAATTTTCTAAATAGAAAACAAATCCCATTTATAGAACCACTTCAAATTATATAATTGCACATTAAACACTTCAATTTATAAAATCATTCTATTCAATGTTTCAACTTGTAAATTAGATCAATTAAATACTTATTGAGTAATTGAAAAATATAAAAATTAAATTGTAGTAACTCAATATTTTGTATATAAGAGCCAAAAACTTTTAAAATTGTTATTGTTAGTGTTGAGAATTTAACACTGTAAATCTTGCTTAATGTTAAATATTAGGAAGTAGTCCAGATAATCTGCAATAAATTAAAATAAATTATGTAGAATATTCAACTGAAACGTCTAAAAGATGCAACATGCTAAAAGCAATTGCAGTCACAACACAAACAAGTAGATGGTTTCGTAAGGAAAAACAATCTGCATATGATACATTCTCAACCATGAAAACCATGAAAATGGGGGTAAAGAGTTCTTTAAAAAAGAGAAATAAACAATCTCAAACATGACAAAAATTCCAGACTCTCCTAAACACAAAGGCCATCTCTGCCAGGTAAATATTTTGTACAGTCGCGATCACAAATCCACTACCTCCTTCCTTTTTTTACACCCTTAAAACTTGTACAGTAAATTTTATCTCCTCTGCAACTGCAAGAGCATCAGTATGTTCGCCGTCTGACCCTCAGCTAGCCTGAATCTAAGGTATATCCTCAAACTAACAATGTACAGTTTTAAGTACAACTGACAATTTTTATTTTCATTAAGCTCCTATCTATCCAAATAAATAGATGGAGCCATTGCTAGATATCAAAAGAAAGAAGAGAAGGAAGAGGCACTCGTACTATCCTCAGTTAGCTGTACAACTTCTCCTATGACATCTAAGCCGTAGCAGGGTGCAGGGTAAGGATGCTAATCCTCCTCTCTGCAAAAGATATAAGCACTTGTTAGGAAGTGAATATGCAACTTATGCCCCATCAAGAGTTAAGAAGCACTAGCATTAGGAAAGGAAAAACATGGCGGAAGAACTGAAAAATCTTCAACTAATAAGGCTATATACATGATTGTTTGTGCTTTAGATAACAAAAAACAGAAAAAGAAAAACACTGAAATTATGCTTCCTAATTTTACTTAGTTGATGAATGATGATAAAATAGTTTCAGGCATGCATAAGGAATAAGTATTTTACAAGTCAAAATTTTCTAGCTCCTCTTTCTTTATGATGCTCAACTGCGTCATAAATATTTTCTAATGTAAGTTCTCTCGACTCACTGAACACTAAATAATACTCATCTGGCCCAGTTAAATCATTAATCAATTGTCAAACAATGACTGGACTAAAAGAACATGGTAATTGGCAACGAAAAGATAATGCACCGGAAGTTCCTAGCTAATTTTCATTCAAATATGTTGAAATCAGATCAAATTATTATAAAGCAGGACAAAATGAGTTGACGAGTTACCTCCTGCTGCAACAAGTTTCTCTACACGCGCAACTATGTGCTTCCCATAAGTATACTTCTTCAGAGCATTTAAGTGAACCTTTATTCGATTAAGGACTAGTTCAAGTTGCTGGTCATCACAAGTTTCCAGCACTTTCTGTACAACATAATTAGCAAACTGATCTTTCATCATAGCCTGCAAGAACAAGAAGCAAAAATCAAAATGAATACTAGTTTAAGACAAAATTAAATTTCAAGTTGCTGGTCATCACAAGTTTCCAGCACTTTCTGTACAACATAATTAGCAAACTGATCTTTCATCATAGCCTGCAAGAACAAGAAGCAAAAATCAAAATGAATACTAGTTTAAGACAAAATTAAATTCGGAAGCCATCACCTCAAGAGAGATTAGCAAATAAGGTGCATTGAACACCTTAAATGAGCCAAACAAAATATTTAGCAAAAATGAAAGCACCACTTGAAATAACTGGATTTTAGGAACGAGAATTTTGTCATTCACAAGAGTGGATTCATCAAATGGACTAGATAGAGGAGAGGTCAACCTCATCATCGTAGGTCCATGACTAAAATGGCAAATGCATAAATATTCCAATAGCACACAGAAATGACTCTTTATTTTGAAGAAAAACACAACATTCCACTCCATTGCTTCTACATGCAGTGTACTCAACCTCCTTCCCTTAGTAGTGTCAGATTAGCGTATTTATTTGATACATGATTGGTATTTGCAAAATTAGACTAATGCCAATACCAATTGAAAGGAACATAGAGACAGCAGAGAAAATGTTACAAAAGGCCCCTCCCATATCAGCAATGCATTTTTAAGATTCTACCATCATGTGAAAACAAATCAAAGATAATCGAGAAAGACTACAAGCAAAAAAGCCTTTTAAGCATTCTAAGTCTATTAGTTATAGGAAGTTAATGGGTACCTGAAGAGGCTCATTTTCATCAGTGGTACCAAGCATCTCATCCACCAGGGCCTGGCGCTCTACAGGAGTACCGAATGTTAAACACTTTTCTATAACATTAGAGGCAAACTTCTGCTGACTCATTTGAACTATTTGCCCTGTTAATTTCTTTATTATTGCTGAACGTTCATGCGGTTTCCCATGCTCCAGCACATGCTGTAACGTTGGAGCAATCAATCAGAACAGCGTAGTTGAAAACAGGTAAACAAATAAGGACATAGGATGTAAGTCTCCAGGGGTAAATGAAGGGGAGAAAGATGGTAGTTATTATTATTTTAATTTGCATACAGGTGGAAAGAAATACCTCAAGTCTAAATCCCGAATCGGAGTATCACATGGATGTCAAAAGAAAATACTGACAAATATTTCAGGCACTTGAACGGTGATACAATATTTCGCGTTAACTTTTACATGTGACATCATGGTCAGTAATTTACCAAATAAATGAATATGTAGGTCAGTGGCGGGAACTGGAAGTACACACCAGCCCCAGAAATAAATGATAGGGAAAATTATAATCATACCCCTATATTTTGCCAAAAAAAAAATACTTTACCTTGTCTTTTTGAAAATAAACTGTTATGCGCTCGCGTTTTCAGTCCATCACAATTATAAGTTATAGTGGTGTAAATTAATTAGATATCTTGTTAAAAAAGTGATAGAATGGTTAGCTCATTTCATTTACATATTGTATATTTCAGTAGCACATTCGCAAAATAAGTAGCATAATCAATTTTCTCACCAACTCATCTATGGGAAAAATGGTTGAGGACTAAAATGAGAAACATTTAAGTTCTATCCTTCACTGCTATGCTGTTGTTTGTTCTTTATGCTCATTTAATAGATCTACCAAGGTGCTTTCCATTTAATAAGGAATATCTGTTTTTTTTTATCAACTGAATCGACTTGGTTCCGTGAGGTTAGAGAGATCAAAATAATGCAGTGTCATGGAAGGACACAAGAAGTTTTCCAACGTCAACCACAAAAGCATAGGTCGATTAATGAACTTTCCTATCAAAGAATGAAATGATAGAATGAATAAATATCTCACCAAGCAAAAAATTCTATAAAGCAGTGATAGTTCAACCTACAAACACTGATGGGGCTCAATCTCTCACATTTCAGTCTCAAATGCTAAACTGCTTAAATACTCCCCTTAAGACATGATTGGTTTTACTTATACTTCCTAGAAATAATATAGATGTATCTCAAAAGCATCATTCATATAAGTACAACAAACCTGTACAACATAGTTTCCATACTGGTCTTGTGCCAACATGATAACAGACTGCAAAATCTCATCCATCATTATACGCTGGGTTTTAGCATCATGGCAATGCTCAAGGACTCTCTGTCATATACAATTTGACCCAAATTAGAATCATAACTGATGGACATATATTTATAAATAGACAAACAACGATACATAGACATGCAAAATACATGTGCATATACACAACACATACTCAAAATCTATATATAGATACATATACACATATGTATAGAAATAGAGTATATAAACCTGTATGACCCGACAACCATAGGGATGAGTGGACAGTGTCACAACTTGATCATAAAAAGTTGAAACAATGAACTGTATAGCATCTTCAGGTACGCATTCAATACACTTCTGGATGACATGATTCCCATTCTGATCACGTACACAACGCATAATATGACCATCAAGCTCTGTCACCATTTTTGTTTGCTGGTCCAGTTCAACCACTTCTATCGCCTGGTTATCAAGATCAAAGAGTGAAATCCAAACATATCATTCTATTATTATCAAAAAGTGAAATCTAAGATTTTAATGTGAAACAAAACATCACTCTATTATTATGAAGATCAAAATTTTAAGGACATTTTCACTGAAAGGAAAGAGCAAACTTAACATATCCTTACTAACGAGCTAAAATACATAATGATGCTTCAGAACCAAAATCCAATCCATGAGGAAGTGTTACTTAGCATCACATAGTTTTCCAGAAATTAAAGAATTTCAAGTAAACAAAAGACCATATGTCAAATACGGTGAACGAAAATATCCAAAACTGAAGGGATGCAATATGAAAAAAGGCATGATTTTAACTTGTCTAGGCAATTTAAGCAAAATCAATTATTAAGAAGCTGTCCAGGGTAGGTGGCAATGGGTTCCTGAATCCTGCAGACTCTTTAAGAATCTTTTACAAGTGATGCCTCAATCACAATTCTTGGGGTTGGGGACCAGCTTTTAGATGACTCCGCTACCTCAGTCAGTTAAAGTACCACTGAAAAGAAGGGCAGTCCAGCTTTCAGTGGATTCTTTCACCTCAGCCGGGTAAAAAAAGAACAAACTGTTTACTCCCCAATGGTACAAGGCAAGATCACTCTGTAGCAACTCTATCTTAAGCTAATAGAAAGAATACAGAAGCAAACATCAGAATTGCAACACGGGGGGTTAAAAAAAAAAAAAAAAAAAAAAAAGAAAGCAAACATCAGAATTGCAACACGGGGGGGTTAAAAAAAAAAAAAAAAAAAAAAGAAAAGATCATCATAAAGCAAGTATCACAAGAGGGTCTGAATATACAAAAAAAAAAAAAAAAAAAAAAAAGAAAAGATCATCATAAAGCAAGTATCACAAGGAGGGTCTGAATATACAAACCTTTTGTATCACTCGACAACCATACATTTGAAGGCTAAGAGTCAAAACATGCCCAGTTAGCTGGTCAGCAAGTTCTCTTATTTGGGATGCAGATCCATGCTCAAAAAACTGAAGACAAAAAACAGTTATGCCATGCCTAAGTCATTCATCACGCATACAAAAACATATTATTATTAAAGGCGCAGCAATGACAATCATAGTCATAGGCAAATTAAGTTTTGTAATGAGAAATACCTTTTGAATCACATAATTACCAAAAACATCTGTCATTAAGGAAAGGGCTTGGGGCATAATTTCATTGAAAACCATGTTTTTCTCTTCTGTTGTAGCAGTTTCAAGTTTCTGCTGTATGAATCGACTCCCATACTGATCAGCACTGTTCATCCAAAGGTATTGTACAAGAACAAAATTAAATTTCTCGAGGGCCAAAGTAAAAACACAAAAGTTTGACCAGGAGATATATACCTGAACTCAACAACATGACCCGCTATTTCCAACAGTTCAAAACATTTAGTTTTATTGCTTTTGAACTCATCAAGCAAAGAGGAAGGAAAACTTTCATCCAGATTACCAACAGATTCTGAGTGCCAAGATCCCATGACACCTCCAGACAGATTACTTATCCCAGCAGTAAAACGTATGTTTCGGTCATTGTGCCTGACAGGACTGCCCGATCCAATAGGAGAACTCGCAAGAAGGGGAGCCCCTATTGGGCTCCCAGGATAGGACATGCCAAGACCAAATGTTGGGCTACCGTAGTAATTATGATTTAAGCTACCAGATTTGCCAAGGTAGGAAACACCATACTGTGATTTTTGAGGAGAAACCAATGCTCCTAAGTAAGCTTTTTGAAGTAAATCCATGTATGAATTACCAAGATACTCCCTATCCATAGAAGGGTCATTGAGAGTTGCAAGCTGCGCAGCAGCATATTCATTTGATCTCAGGTACTGAAGATACAAGGGATCCATAAGGGGCACCTGAAGAGCATTACCTGAAGCGTGATTTCCAACTCTGCTGAGATTCTGTAATTCTGGAGCAGCAGCCATTAAATTTGGTCCCAATGCATTCAATGATCTAGAATCCAACCCAGTTCCTCCCAGTGCAGATGCAGCAGCAACATTTTCAAATAACGGTGGTAAACCACCACTCCCAAGCTGGCTTCCCATCATGGATGGAGATGAAGGGTTCATAGGATACCCACTCAAGCCAAAGTTTGCAAATGCAGAATTCACGTTATCAACATTATGGTGGTCAGAAGGGGAGCCTCCTCTGCCATTAAGAGTTGGTGTTGAGGGCCCATTAAGATAGGAATTAATAGATGAAGTAGACTTATTCAAAAATGGCTGTTGCTTGACGTGATTCAGGTTGTGGTCACCTTGCAAATTGAAGAGATTATGGTGATCATCAATGTTATGTTGGCTTCGCGATATTGAGTGACTCTCTTCATCAACTGTTGACAGATTCAATCCAGACAGAGCAGCTACTAGCTCAGCAGAGTCATTCAAGCTTGATGAGACACCTTTGAATGAGTTTGAACCGCTCGATTCTCTTTTGTCTACAGAATTGGATCTGCCACCCCCAATAGGTGGAATTCGAGGACTAGGAGCTCTTGCTACATGTTGAAGGTCAGGTGTAGTGCTTCGTGACAAGGAAGCACCTAAAGCAGAAGCATAGGTATGAGAACCTGTTGCACCAACATTTGGGACCACAGGAACACCCTGTTTATTCGCAACAGAGCGCAAAGCATCAGCAGATGCTAAATCATGAAGGTCAGAAAACTGGGTGTCAGTAGCTTCTATATTATCATCAAAAGCATTGCGACTAGCTGGACGAGAAGGATGCCTTGAGATGCGATTTGCATGGCCCATATCATCCTGCATTGTAAAACCAAATCATTAAGCAAGGAAACAAGCCAGGAGAAAGTGAAAGACGAGGATACTCAAGAAATGTCTAAAGAACGGGTAATCAATAACTTCAAATTCAATAAATGACAAGCTGCAATTGAAAGAAGAATTGTCAAAAATCCGATTTTACGGCGAGCAATTGCAGTGTCAGACCTAAAAGAAACAACAAAAACTTGTAAATATAAGTTTATGTATTTGTTTGTCCAAAGTCACAAACTTAATGTATACATAAAGAAAGAAGAAAATGCAAGATAAAAAAATAAAAAAAAAAAAAAAAAAAAAAAAGATAAAAAAAATTAAAAAAAAAAAAAAAAAAAAAAAAAAAAAAAAAAAAAAAAACATTGATGGTGTCTCAACAAGATCCAGGTATGCCTAGAACTGTGAGAGAGAAAGCAACTAAGAAGAACACTTAAATAGCAAGAAGAACAAAACAACAGGTACTGGCTTTCAAATTACTATCAAACTCAACTGCACTAAATTTTACAAAAAAGGAAACCGAAAATCAAGCAAACAGACTTCCATCCACTCCCATGTAAGCTTGCTCAACACTAAAATACGCATAAGTGTAGTGTCAGTAAAAACAATAACAATTGGCAATAAATAATGCAAGACTAACCAGCCCAACATGGCACAATTTAATAATCTTTCATAAATAGAAAAGTAGAAAAATTATCCACAGTATCGAATCAAGATCTATGGTATGGGAATTAATTCTCGAAATAGAATAAAAAAAAAAGTAACAGAAAAATAATCAGAACTGACCAATTTAAAGAGCAATATATCAGTAACCTGAACACCGTAAACAAGCTATATGACAGACACAGCGATTGCTTAAACAGGTTACTCCAGAAAACAAGCATAAAATTTACATATTAGGCAACAATTTGAGAGAACGAAAATCATGAAGCCAAAGAATCTAAACATCACCAAAAATTTCGAACAGCTGCTGACAAATGATCATCATTGTTTCATATGCTATAATCAAAGCCAAGACAGCATGTACCTCACATAATGCAGAGAAAAAACCATCATATTAAATTGCACTCTATGCTTCAAAATGCAATGCAAAATAAACAACATTATCATCAAGTTCTCAAAAGGAGCTGCTTAAAAAATCTCACGAGCAAGAACTAGTTTCTCCAAAACCACGGTAAAACAACACAAGACACTGAAAATTCAAGTTTCACCTGAATGATTTCTGCAATGCTCTTTTGCCTGCTTCCTAGGCCCAACCCAGGCAATCCAATCAGCCCATCTCCTCCCCACTCCACTCCTCCACCATTTCCATTCTCCTCCTTCCCTCCTCCAAACCCTGGCGGCGCCGCGAAAAGTGACCTGTTCCCTTCATTGTTGCCACCTCTACTTCCCTTCCTTCTATCCCCAACCACAGAATTAACTCCACCACCGTGTAATCTCTGTGCAAACCTCCAATCCTCCTTCGACAACAAAGGAGGCGGCAATCTTGGATTCAAGTTAACATTAGAGTAATAATAATTAACGTAAGCTGGATCAGACCTTATCTCCTCCTCGCTCAAGAACCCACCTTTGCTGTTCTTTTTTATACCAGCTAAGCCAGTAGCATCAAACAAACCTCCAATCGAGTTTAAAGACCCTTCTACAGTGGGTGGGGCAGACCCACTTCGGTTAATATTAAGTTCTTTCTCTCTGTCACTCGCTGCCTCTTGTTGTAGCCTTTGCTCTCTAATCAGTTTGCCCAAATCCTCGTTTTTAAGCATTGATCGCATTGATATATCAGGCAAAATCTGCGAATAAGTGTCTGTGATCATTAGATGTGAGCGTAAAGATTGAAACTTGGAGCTAATTTTTTGCTGAGAATAGCTAAAATTGAGCTGGGTTTGTGTTTAAGGTTCGCAAAAGTTATTACGGTTGATCAAAACGAAGAACCCATCAAACACAAAAATATTAAGAATCCAAAAAAACAAAAAGTTGTTGATTGTATGTTACGGGTCTAATATTGTGCTAAAAGAGTGTAAATTTGGTAATATATACAGAGATCAGATTGACAGTGAAGAGTGTTGCAGATGATCAACGATACAAGCCGCCATGTTTTTTAGAGAGCGAAACAGAAACAAAGACACGGAGAGGAGAGTCTGGAGTGAGGAAAGAGACGAGTGATAAGCACGAGCGATAGGCAGATCTGAACCGTTGGATTTATGAAGTGACGGCAGGGATCGATTCTATTAGGATTTGTTCTTACATCAGGGTCTTTAGGGTTTTAGTTCCTGTGATTTAATGCCAAATCGATGGCATAAATTTTCTTTTTCTTCTTCTTTTTTTTTTTTTTTTTTTTTTTTTTTTTTTTTTTGAATAACTGTAAATGCATTTTTATTTACCCTTTTTTGCTAAAAGTTTAGCAAAGATTACAGAGATGTTTAAATTTTTTTTTTTTTTTTTTAATAACTGTAAAGCATTTTTTTTATTTACCTTTTTTGCTAAAAGGTTTAGCAAAGATTACAGAGATGTTTAAGATTTGTTTAGATGAATGATAATACATGTTTTTTGAAGAGTATGAATGATAATACATTAATACTATATGAGTTTAATATAATATAGTTTTATAATGTAATTACTTTTTTTTTTAGATGATTAAAAATTATGTTTATACTTTTTTTTTGAAAAATGACATTTATATTGTATGGCATGGCAATTAGAAATTTTTATTATTTATAATAATTAATTAATTACTATTAATATTACTATATACATATATAATTAATTATATGGCACAAAATTAATTTCACATAGACCACTTATTCTACTTACTAAAGTTATGTACTCCCTCGTTTCTCTAACTTTAGAGAAAATTTCCATTTTATGTGTTTATTTTATATAGAAAATTTTACTTTAAATGAAAATTTTGAGAAAGATGACAAAAAAAGAAAGTCTAAAATGCCTTTTAATAAGCTTTGTTACTGTTTTATTTCGATTCAATTAACAAGAATAGTTGCAAATAAAATGTGGGTTGGACAATTAACGGCCTTATATTTTCAAAATATGAATAATTGCTACGTTTATAAGCAATTCAATAGAAATGTGTTCAATTTTACAAATTTCAGTACAAACAAGAGTATTGCACCGACCAATACCCTAATATCACTACACATTTTAATTGTTGCACCCTACTTATAAAAAAAAAAAATTTATATTGATGTTACACCTCATTAATCTGAGCACAAATTTAAAATTTATCGAACAAATTGAATTAAAATCCTTTCGAGGGCTATGTGTATATGCGTTATATAGAAATATGCTCAACTTTACAAATGTGGACATGAATATAACTATTTTTCTTGAAAAATTTTCATAATACGGTGTCAGATTTGTATTATTATAGTGAACAAACTCAATGTCTTTCTTTCTGGACTTAGCATATGAAGATGCTGAGTTCGTCATGTCCGATGACAACTTTCTACTTACTATCGCTATTTTTGAAAACAATGTAAATCTACTGAATTTGAAATTGATGAGACTCTTGTAATCCCTAAAGATTTTGACTAATTCCTCACCATTAATTATATATTTAAAACTGATTAAGGGTGTTACAGACAAAGATTTCTGTTTAACTACTTTCTTAATCTCGAAGCTTTTTATATTTTCTCTACAGTAAAAAAACAGATGGAGCAGTAAAATATGATAATTATCATATCACCTTATCACTAAATGAAAAATATATATTTTTATATGTGCCATGAATATAATTAGTAAAACATTTAATTATCAAATATCAACAATAATCTTTTTTCTTTACAAATATGAGTTGTGCATCACGAGTATCTTCACCAGAGTAATTTTGAAATTATAAAGAATTGTTTTATATGATAAAATAAGATTAATGCTTGTCAAAATAATATTAAAACTACAATAACGTTTTGAGAATGTAAAAATATCAATATTAAAATTTCATAAAAGTCTGGTTAAATGAATGCAAATTTTAGATGAATGGTTATTTAAATTTAATATCATGCATGTTTTATTTTCTTCATTTGTATATATTTGGTACTCAAAATAGTCACTTTTATTAATTTATACTCTATAGTGCATTATCAATTTTATATTTTTAAAATTGTGTTATTTTAAAACTTCCAGCCACCAGCGATTTTAATTAATATTTCCTATTCAAACAAGGCTTTAATTTTGGATTTATTTTCTTTTTTCTTTTTTTTTTCTATTGTCGAAATTAGTTAATTTGAGTACATATTACACTTGTTCAAGCTTCACTTAAAAGTGTAAATACGTGTTTAAAGATCTTAACTAGTGATTTGTTATTACATATACTTACCGATGTAAATGAGCTCAGCCGATCTCGAACTTACCAGGTTTGAAGCTCGGCTCGATAGAATTTAGTTTGGCTCGAAATTCAACGAGCCTAAAAATTTAGTCTCGAGCTCGGCTCGACTTTGACTTGAGCCGAACTCGGTTCAAGCTCAATTTCAGGCTCAAGTTCAACTTGAAAAATTTTAAACTCGATCTCGGCTTGAGTAATCTAAAATAATATTATATATATGCATGTATAAAAGCTCGATAAGAGACGAGTTTTCGAGCTGAACATTATTGCACTCGAACTCGACTTGATTGTTAAACGAGCAGGCTCGAGCTCAATTCGAGTAAATCTTTTCAAACTTTTTTCGAGCTGGCTCAACTCATTGACACCCCTGCATATACTGTTAATTTTATATTTATTTCTGAAATACAGATCTAGAGAATACGAGTTTTCACACTCACAACTTGTTATTATAGGTATTAAATGTTAATTATTACCTTTTTTTTTCTCTCTCTCTTGTATAAGAATAATATTCAATAGTATTTTAAAGGAATAGAATATTGAAAAATGGACTTTAGGTTATAGAGTAGACATTAATATTCGATAATCAAATTATATTAAATTCAATTATTTATATATTATGATGCATAATGTAGATATATTTTTTACTGTTAAAGTGAATATATTATTTTTTTTAATATATTATATAAATAAAAATATTAATTAAATTTATTTAATTATTTTAAATAACTATAATTAAAATGAGCATAAAACATATTAGTTTGAAAATTTTATTAGTAATTATTTTCTAAAGTTAATGGAGTTCAAATCAATTAATATTCAAATAAGCTAGAGCTCTAAAACGTAGCCAATGATTAACAACAAAACAATGTTATTTTTGATGCTGAATTTGCATTTTTTTTTCTATCTATTTTGGTGTCTAAATATTGGATTTATAATTTTTTTTTTAAATTGGTGTTTTCTGATAAAATTGACAGTCGAATTGTACAATAAAATGAAACAGGGCCCACTTTTGCCTATTACATAGTATAATAATTAATTCATGTAAACGGTCCAATGTTGCAAATACGATAAATTTACCATTTTAACCTCATTTATTTTCTACGGGGGAAAAAATAAAGAAGCTAGGTAAAATATTTTAGGAAAAATAATTATTTCGTATCTTAACGTTTGTCATAACTATTTAAATAATCTTCAACTTTTATATAAATATTTAAAATATTTCTATAATTTGCCTCTGTCTCGTTAAATAATCATTATGTCTATTTTTCTTGTGTTTTTGCTGTTAAAATTGGATAGAAATTAGGATTTAGGGGGAGAGAGATACGTTGAAATACCAATATGCCTTTAATAAAGTTAAATAAGACAACCAAAAAGTGAACAATCTCTTTTGCCTTCTTCTCTCTGCCTCAAGAACAACATGCGGCGCCACCAATATCATAAGACAGCCCGCAAAACTGCCATATATACTTGGAAAACCACCAACCCATTAGAAACAGCCGGCAAAACCGCTTCTATGTCAAGCCTGTTATCATTAATTTGACCAGATTTGATGGCTTTCTTAACTATGTTGGTATTTTGTAGCTCTAGTTGGAAAAAAAAGAGTGGTGTTTTATGGTAAATTTTGAGGATTGGTCAAGTGCAGGAACGTAAATTTATTGAAGAAAGCATTTGGGTTTTGCAGTAATAATTCTTTGCCACGTAAAAAAGAGCAGAAATAACTAGATAGAAGGTGAAGCTGCAAGACCTGCAATGGAAATTCCCCATGGTTTTCCAGTTAAGTGGGTAAAGGGTATAAGAAATGAAGAAATATTTGACTTTGCAGATAAATAGGGAGAGAGATAGAGGGATGTATTCTGTGTTTTTTTTCAAAGAAGAAGAAGAGTTGACTCTGGCAATTGTCGTCGAGTTTTCTTAGAGTTTTGCAAATTTATTACAAAATAAAAGTTAATAAGACAACATTTATAGTGATGAAAATCAAAAATTTCCTGCAATTGCTATGATGTTGTTACCATTCACCGGCTTCCTTTTTATGGTTGCACTTGGTGTCCTCTGGTGAAGAAGATGAAGAGACATTCTTAGGAAAAATGAGATTACAGAGATATTTTGAAATTGATTTCAAAATACACTATGAAACCAACAACTATGAGAGAAACTAAGAAACGAAGGACAAGTTTTGACGACAAACTCAGAAATATTGCGATTCTGAGACAAAAATTACCAAAAAACAACCAAAAAACCAGAAGAAATCTAAGAATTTGAAGATTAAAACTCTAGCAACAAGACAAATTTTACCAGAAAACAAGCAATCGATCGAGAGGAACAAGAAACGTCGATGAAAAAATATTTTCAGAAAGAGAAATCCAAATGCTCAAAGCTATTCATTAATTACAACTGTCAGTACATATACAGATATCATAATAGCTTGTTATTCTCAAACTAAGTATTTACATAATTGTTCTCATATAAAGAAACCTACACTATCCAAAATAAATTACATATTTGTATTTAATCTTTACACAACCAATGAGATTTAAATTGAATATTTGTTATGACTGTAATGATGGTGATCTAGAAATTTAGTTCATCTATTTGTTATGAGTCAGAAAATTATAATGGCAGAAAGTTTAGTTCATGCTAAGAAGGATACAACTGCTAAATGGTGCTTCACTTGGGATGAAGATTCACTTTTATTGCATATAAACTCTTTAGTTGAGTTCTAAATGGAAGGAGTGATGGTGTTTAAGGGTATTTAAGTCTTTTTACTTCCTATTTTAACAGAAAAATACAAAAAAATAGACAGAGGGACTATTTAATGGGATAATGGCATATTTCGGGGATATTTTAAATATTTATATAAAAACTGAGTACTACTTAGTGATTATGA